CAACAACAAATGCATATATATATTCTATTTTCGAGTCGAGTTTGTCAAGTTTGGTGACTCTCGCTCTTATTATTCACCAAAATTGCCCAAAAACAGGATAACGATATCGATTTTTATCGATTGCTACATCTAAAAATCAAGTCTCTAGCTCTTATAAGTTCTGAGATCCTTGCGTTCATACATACGGACGGACGGACAGACAGACGGATCAGAGAGAACAGACTAGATCGACTCGGCTATTGGTGCTGATCAAGAATATATATACTTCATGGGGTCGGAGATGCTTCCTTCTGCCTGTTACATACATTTGGATTTTGCAAATATATTATAAACCCTTATACCCATTTTTAATGGGTTCAGGGTATAAAAAGGTACTTTCGACATTTCAATGTTACCGACAACTAACACTTGATAATGAAAAAGCAGAATGTGAAATTGTAAGTCAAAGAGATGTTGAGCATAGTGGAAAAAATATCCGGAACACAAAAAACATTTAAAGCAAATATATGTAAGTGTCAGGGATTGCAATTAAGATAATAATATTGGCAAAAATAGATAAATAGAATATATAACCTCCTAATAGAAAAGTTACAACTTATATAAATAACATATCCATTTTCAGCTAGCGGACGAGCACTTCATACATTTATGTTATTTTGGCAAATCTGAGCAAAAAAAAAACTTATTAAATTTATGGCAAGACAAAAGTTTTTTTGGCTCGTCAGTGCTGTGCCATTAGCCAGCACTGGACACGTCAACAGCTTTTTGCACTTTTGCAGCAATAACAATAACAATGTGAATTAAATAAAATAATAGCAAATGCCAAAACATAGCACCATAAAGGCATAAAGTTAGTTCAAGCGAGAGTGAGAGGCGGCGACAGAGGGAAAGCGAGTGAGAAAAACTAGAAGATGCTCGTCCAAACAGGGTCATGCGGCGTATACGCAACGCCAATAAAAGCCAACACACATACAAACACACTCACACACACACACACATCCAGCAAGAAGACAAACCAAATACCAAAAATGCCTTTTATTGAAATTTATGACACACAAGCTGCACAAGCCACCAGTTATGAAATCAGTGAAAAAGTCAGCTGCCCCTACCACTACCCGCTCCGCCTGTAGCTACAGAGGGGCATTTCAATTAGTTGCAATTTGCTAAAAGTCCAAATAATGCAATTGGATTCCAGCATTGATTTTGATTGCGGCACATAAACTGTGTGCGTAATGTGCAATTGTTTAGGCGCTGCCAAAAATATATATGTATATATGCGATATAATAACAATCGAATATTACGCATACGCCCCTTGGGGCGTGCAAATATGATGCGCCCCGCCAAACAGCTACCCACTAAGCTGCAGCAACTGTTAACCCTTTTTATACTCTGTTCACAAAGTATAAGGGGCATGTTGGTTATGTCCGTCTTGCTGGGCGTCTGCTCGAAACACGATAATATGGAAACACGGTTCGTTACAAGTCGAAAAGGTTTATACCTTTGTAAGGGTTATACCCATGAGGTAACGAATTTGTAAGAATCTAAAGAACTTATCTTCGATCCAACAATAATTTGCTTCGGCAAATATTAGTATCTGTTTTAACTTGTTCTGGAACTGATCGCCAGGGTTGCAAGTCCAGTGGTTCGGTTTAAACCTGCCCAGCTCAATTCAATTCCTGGTTTCTTATTTATTTGCAACATTTAAATGAAACAATTCAAAGTTGAATTCATAAATTTCTTAATAATTAAAGCTGTAAGCATGTTATTAAATTGTGAACGGGCATTACACAGTGACTTGCATCCGACTGCAATACACATTTGTTGTTTTTTTTTTTTTGCGTTGCCCAACATTGTTTATGGTGTAGCCGATGCTGGTCAGTGCTAACGGTATCTATGTCTGTGGCAACATCCGTCGCACATATTCGTCGCCAGCTGCGCTGCCCATTGAAACGGAAATGAGAACTCAACGCAGCGGAAATTTAATAACGACCAGCAATTTAGCGACAAGTGGACGCGGGGCCATGGTCGAACGACATATTTATGCGGCCATTTTGACAGACCGCAGTAACCAGAGAGTCGGCCAGCCACGCCCCCCCTATCAATTGTTGTGCTTCTGTGTGTGTGTGTGTGGGCGTGTGTGTGTACGTGTGTTCATTGACAAATGACCATTTCATATGTGAAATGGCAATTCAATTGATTTTCTGCGCGCCCTGTGTTTGCAATTGTAATGAAAATAGTTCAAATATGTTTGCCCAGGCTGCTTCGCGGCAATAATGAGAAGTATTTCATAAAGACCGTCCCCCACATAAATTGTATCCTTCTGAAAGAGAAAGAGAGAAGAAAAAAAAGGGGGGTAAAATACTGACAACAAATTGTCAATAACAATGGCAAAATGTTAAACGGCCAGCGCGCAACTGCAACTGAAATTTATGGCTCGCACAGATCAAGTACTCATATGTCACGGTCATAATAATAAATTTTATTGTTTAATTTGGAATTGACGCACAATTGCTGTATACTCTACGGCATAGGCTACATAGTAAGCGTATGAAGAGCAACCAACAACAATTAAACAACATTTAATTATATAGAAATTATATAGTTATATGCATATGCAAATAAATTTAGTTGGTAAAGTGGCTTTTATGAGTTTATTTAATTAGGCTCAGGCTGGTAAATATGCAAATTTGACATTTAGCAAGCTTCATGGCAATTTTTATGTGCTGAAGTTTGAAAATTTTTTAAAACTATGAAGAAACATTTGAAAACATTAGCTCATTCCTTTCCGCAGTTAGAATATAAGTCCATGTTAACTTTTTTTTAGCTACTGGTAAGTTGGCAATTAACAGAAAAAACTCTTGTTTTACACATAAATTATTTAAAAGGCAGATGCTCGGAAACCATGTCCAGTGAAATTAATTGTTAAAAGCGTATTAAAATGTTAACTATAACTTTGAATCTGAAAACCCTTTTGATGGTTTATAGTCAAAAGCGAGAAACAAACGACGTTCAATATGTTAAAGTCCATGTTAAATTTACAATGCGCATGAATCAGAGAAATGGCCGCTTTTCAACTTATCATTTGGTTGCAAAATATTTAACAATTAGATACTTTTAAATTTAGACATAACAAATAGCAAATATTATAACTTGTAAGAGTTCATGGTAATTTTACCAAGACAATTCCTAGACCACAAAGTAGGACAAGAATTAAGCTAAGCTGCATTTTTATGACCTTCAATGGGTCAGTTAATTAAATTCCTGGCCAACAATCCTCGAAACTGAGTTCTTCTGTCTGCTTATTAAATCAGCCATTTTTTATCAGCTCACATAATTATGACTTTCCACACACACAGACACGCGCGCAATTTTCTATGAAATTAATTTTCCTAATCAGTGGCAAGTGAAAAGTCACTCACTTGTCTTTTGTTTGCCTTTTGCCGTCCAAAGCACACATGACAAAATAAAGGCAACCCCCAACCCTTGGCCCAGCCATGAAAGGTTATATTAAATGCCTGGCTCAATTATCTTCCTCTTGACATTCTTTCTGAAAGGCAGCCGCTTTATAATTTTACCAGCCTGATATATGTGACGCAGTCAGAAAACATCTCAGCAGCTGCGCCTGTCAAGATAACAAAGAGTTCTCGACTTATGTACGCTTCCAGCATTGTGCATTGCGTTCGGCCAGATTTTACAATACGATATGTATGTAATTTTAGCATGTGGAAATTTTACAAAATTAAATTATGCATTTACGCAAGTATTGGGGCAAAGTTATGAAGAAGAAAAAAAGGGGGAAAGAAAAAGTATTCAACTTGATTTAATTGAAATTTGTTGAAATAATTAAATTTGACACGAACTTCTGAAGAGAAATACGAAAGCAGGACTTGGAATTAATTTGCCAACGCTTAAGCCAAAAAGTAATTATCCATTATTTATTTTATTTTACACAAGACTCACACGACTACGACGACGACGATAACGATGACGACTGCCTGCATCTATTCATTCGTTATTCAGTTGTATTCACAGCAGAAATTAGCATAACAAAAGGCAGCTGCACAATTCAAACATTGCTAAGTCGATTCTTAATTTTCAATTAAAATCCAATTTGTGCACATAAAAACGCCAAAGAGACGACGTTTTTCAAATGAAAATATTTTTTTGTTTAAATCCATTGTCAATCCTTAAAACGGACACGCAGCATGTGCATGAATTGGTTGAGTTACGAATTACTTGGACTGAATGTGGAAGGCTTTGTACTTGCTCATGGGAAGGACATTAAAGTGGAATAGGTGAGAATGAAGGAAATATTGGCATACGATTACAGAATCAGGATTCACTTTTAATTTAATAAAAATATTTGCTTTCCATAAGTAAGTCTAGAAAGTTGCCAGTTGAGAAGAAATATTTTATATATATTTATATATTTAATACTAGCAAAATACTTAAAATAAACTTGGAACTTTCGATTAGCAGAAATTGCTGAATCATAAAACTATTTTAAAGTTACATTTCTGTTTTTAATTTTACATAATTCTCAAATGAGAAGATATACTAAAAGTTAAACCATATATATATATAGTTTAAATACATTAAAGTGGGGACTGGAATAATAAAAGTATTTTAAATACTGAAAAAATACTGATAACTACACTAAAAAATAAAAATTAATTTAAAGTATTTTTTAATAATAAAATATAAAACTAAATCATTTGATAAATATATTAATTATTTTATACACACAGAAATATTCACATAAATATAAAAGATTTTATAAATATATATACATATATATCTGATCAGCTGTGTATGTTTAGTGAGACCAGCTGATCACAAATATTAATAATTTATTATATACTTACTTAATACTGATCAAATTAAGCAATATTTGAATACTACAATTTAATAAGCAAAAAAATGTATTTTTTTATAACTTAAGCAAATGCACATTTTTTAAATAAAATTATAAATAAATAGTTTTTAACCTGAACAATTATTATATAAAATTATAAAAAACCAAATTCTCAATTGCCAAAAATCAATAAAAAAGAAAAAGAATGAAATTTTGTGCTCAATTTTGAAGCTAATCGAATTGCGATTTCCTTTTGGTTTTTAGTTTTCGCTGAAATTTAAACGTTTGCGCCTCCTTTAGTTCCCTAAATCGCTGCTCGTAATACCCATGTCGATCCAATTTTTTGGCCAGCGCCTGCAGCTGCGTCTCCCCTGTGGCGTAGAGGCCAGTCAAAAACTGGGCCAAAACCAATTGAAAATCGTGCTCCAAATCGTTGATGGCATCGCATGTATTCTGGCAGGACCAACGCAGTTCCAGAAGCAGTTGCTGTGCCGATTCCCGTTTATTCAAGCGTTGATTGAATAGCTGACCGAGTGATAGAAACTTTTGCTGCACTGCATCCAGATGAATAATGGACGCATAGAGCTGTCCCAGATAGTGCTGCAACTTGCCGCATTTCCCCCTCTGCATAATGCCGTACTCAATGCTTTCCAGATACGCACCATGCAGCTCGAGCAGCTCATCCAGAGTTTTTGACGTACTGCAGCCAAAATATAGACGCTCATAAGCGCTGCCCAGCACATTCTGCAGCATATAGCTGCGCAGCTGTAGCATAAACTCCTGCAGCCGGTCACTGAACTGCTCGAAGCGATCTCTCACATGCCGCGCATCCTTCGAGTGCGCCAAATTGATGCGCTCCCAAAAGTGCGCTTGATGTCGCCTTATCCGCTCATTGAGCACATAGTCCGCATAGTGCAGCTGCCAGAGGCAGGCAAAGCTGGTCTCGTATTGCAACTGGCGCGCGCCCAGTAAGGGCAACCAGTGGGCCGGCTGCTGCCAGCGTAAGAGGAAGCAGCACCAGCTCTGGCTGCCCTTGTGGTCACCCTTAACCACATAGAGATTCTCATTGTGGGCGCAGAGCAGCTGCTCCAACATTTTGTTCAGTTGCTTTGGATTAAAGTATTCGGCGGGCTGCTCCAGCGCCGGCTCCAGCAGCTCGATCAATTCTCGCACAAATTCCACGTCTGTTAGCAGCCAATATTGATGCAGTCGGCTGAGCAGCTCCAAGGGTTGCGGACTCGCTTGATGCAGCTGCTGCAGCAGCTCTCTGGATGTCTGCAGCTGCAGGCCGGTAACAAGCTCAGCGAGTGGCTGCACATCCAGCTCACGATAGCTGCTGGCACAGGCGGCTGCCAATTGCTCACGCATTTCTGCATCAGATAGTGTCAGCTCCAGCTGCCGTCCCAGAAATTGACGGGCATAATGTTGATTTCGGCCCGCGCCGAGTAGCTGCAGTGCCAGCGCTTGGCTCAGAAAATACGGCAATTGTTGCTGCACCAGCTCAAATTGCTGCGTCCAATAGTGCTCCACAAGGTAATTGTCGCTGCGGCGCTTCACAATAAAAAACTCATCCGCCGGCAGCTCGCCGCGCAGCAGCCAGCTACTAATCCTGGCCAGCAGCGGCTCGGCGGCACAACGCAGCCACAACTGCAGCAGCATATCGCAGGCTGCGTTGCCCTGACCCAGCTGCAATTGCAAATATTGCAGCAATGGCTGTCGCCTGCTAAAGCCGCCACAGATCTGCAATAGCCACTGGAAGCGCTGTCGATAGCTTCTCGTTTGCCAGAATAAGTGCAGAAGACTCTTGGGCTGCACTTTTTGCCGTTTATAAAACTCGGAATAGTTGAGCAATTCAGCCAGCAAACAGGGCGTCAACGCTCGCCCACATTCGCCCAGTTGTTGCAGATGCTTCTGCAGCTGCTGAAGGCATCTGTAGTAGTAGCCCACCTCGGCCAGCGACAGGAGCAGATAGGATTCGCTTACGCTGCGCTGATGATGCGGCGAGCGCAACATCAGGCGTGGACCCAGAGCCGAGGAACGCAGCTGCTGGCACTCGTAGCCCAGCATGCCGTGCAGCGCATCCTGCAATCGCTCCTCATGCGACAGTTCCCTGGCAGTGCCGCGATCCCGCTGCTGCCAGCGCATCGTCTCGTATTCCCGCAGTTCGTCGGCGGTGAGCAGCTGTTGAATTTGGCATTTGGCAATTGCGGCCACACACTCTTCCGGTTCGAAGGAATATTTCTTGCGCATGCAACGCAAAAAAGCTTTTAAGCGTCTTCGGATCGCAACGACATCGAGCGTGGGGTTCCGATTGGCTTGGTTCCATTTTGCTTGGGTCGCTACAATCTCATGGAATTGTGTCCATTGCGCAAAGAAATTGGGCGCATCGCGCTCCATGGGCGAGCATTGATAGGCGGGGTTACATTGAAATTGCTTTACAATGAAACGAGAGGCAGCTATAACGTGCCGTTGATGTTGCCACTTGGTTATCGATTGTTGCCGTGTGATCGTTTCATCGGACATCGATTGTCGGCTAATTGTCTGATTAATTGACATCTCTTTGGTCTGCTGCGGATTTTGCCATGTGGTTAGTTCTCGCACTTGCTTAACTATCTCTAAAAGGCAGTCGCCAGTTTTTTGTTCAGATATATCTTCTGCAGAGGTTATCGACGGAACAGAGTCTGACAGCAATCCTGGCTGCCACCCAGTTGGAGGGGCCACGCGCTTCGATCGCGCAAATAAAACGCTAGAAGTAGCTCTTAAAGATATCGATTCTTGCCGTTTCATTGATCCATCGGGCACCGATTGCTGATTTATAGTGTGATTAATTGATATGTCTTTCGGCTGCTGCGGATGTTGCCATGTGGCAGGTTCGCGCACTTGATTAACTCCCTCTAAACGATAGTCGGAAGTAACTTTTTCAGTTATATCTTCTTCAGAGGTTATCGACTGAACAGGGTCTGACAGCAAATCTTGTTGCCTCCCAGTGGGAGAGGGCAGGCGCTCTAATATAACGCTAGAAGTAGCTCTTAAAGGCATCGATTCTTGCCGTTTTATTGATCCATCAGGCACCGATTGCTGATTTATAGTGTGATTAATTGATATGTCTTTCGGCTGCTGCGGATGTTGCCATGTGGCAGGTTCGCGCACTTGATTAACTCCCTCTAAACGACAGTCGGAAGAAACTTTTTTAGTTATATCTTCTTCAGAGATTGTCGACTGAACAGAGTCTGACAGCATATCTTGTTGCCTCCCAGTGGGAGAGGGCAGGCGCTCTAATAGAACGCTAGAAGTAGCTCTTAAAGGCATCGATTTTTGCCGTTTTATCGATCCATCGGGCACCGATTGCTGATTTATCGTGTGATTAATTGATATGTCTTTCGGCTGCTGCGGATGTTGCCATGTGGCAGGTTCGCGCACTTGATTAACTCCCTCTAAACGATAGTCGGAAGTAACTTTTTCAGTTATATCTTCTTCAGAGATTGTCGACTGAACAGGGTCTGACAGCATATCTTGTTGCCTCCCAGTGGGAGAGGGCAGGCGCTCTAATAGAATCGATCCTTCGGGCATCAGTTTTTGCAGTGCTATCGACTTATCAATTTCTGGCAACATTTCTTTAGATACTTCATCCTGCCACAGTTGTTGCCAGCTAGCTGTCGAGGATGTAAGCGTAGGTTGCTCCGAAATGGAAAGTGTGTACTGATCAGTTTCGGTGAAAAGTGTTGTAGATATCGATTCCCGTTGAGCTATCGATTGTTCAATATTTGGCTGCGCTTGATGTTGCCAGTTGCTTGTGACTGGACTACTTGTCTCTGCGTGAACCCTGGAATAAACTCGAGAAACTGTCGACTCTTGCTGCTCTCTTGACGGAACTGTTATCAGTTCTTGCTCCATTATCGGCAGATCAATTTCCGCCAAACTTTCTTCAAAAATGTAATGTCGATGGTAATATGAGGGATATTGATTGCGCAGCTCTAGGTGAGTGCTGGAACTGATTCTTGAAGTTATTGAATTCTGGTGCATTGTTGGACTACTGACCATCGGTTCTTGTTCTGTTATTGTATGACCGATCTGTGACAGCATTTCTTCAGATGTCGTCAAAAGAAAATGATCCATAGGTGAGGTCACGTGCTGATTTGCCCACCAGACAGATGGCTTCACTTGCTCCATACAGAGACTGGTAGGGTTTTTCGTAGTAGTAAATTGGCGATATTCACTAGACCGATCGAATTCAGGCATAACTTTCGTGGATATTGCTTGCTTTTCTCTTATTTTCCAATCGATATCGCCGAACATTTCACCTGTACTTGTTCCTGTTTCTGGTGTTTCTATACCATTGATTTGTACCAGAAGCAATTCGTCATCAGTATTCGTAGCTATATCGGAAAATGCACTTTGATTTGTTTGAACGCCCTGATCTGACAGCGTGTGGTGTAGTTCAGTTTGCTGAGATTTATTTAAAAGTTCAGATCGTGTCGGTTCCACAAACTGACATCCTACCTCAGCTGTCTCCTTGATAATATCCCTTCTCTTTTCGCATATTTCAGCTGGAAAAAAATACCGATTTATTAGAGTTCCACACATTAAAGTCAATCAACCCCTGTGAAAACTGTACTATGTATGTTTTGTAAAGGATGTGTTGAGAGTTGTAAAATCTTATTTTCTATATCTAGTTGGGCAATCGAACAATTCTATCTCTAGTAAAATGTCATTGTTATAATTATTATAATTAAAGATTTTTTCGTACCAGCTCTTGATTCGCGATTATTCGAATTGCATTCTGTCAACTGGATTCCAATATCTTCATAGAGCATAAGCTCTGAACTGCTTGAAAATGATTTAGCAGGACTATTCCAATTCAACATAAAAATCACTTCCATTTCATCGTCTTTGTTCGGCTTCGGTTCTTCCCTAATATTTTTTGAATTTGCCGCTTTCCTCGCCTGAATATAACTTATTTTATAGCTTGCCTGCTCCCAAAGCAAACCTTTTGAGTTACAGCTAAACTTCGATGCGCTATATTCCACAATGGCAAACCCTACTTCCAATATTTGTGGAGGGCAACACCTTTTGGGCATAGGAAAAAAATTTTCAATATTGATAGATCTTACTTCCGAAGGACGCTCCGAATTCTCCTCATTTAGATGCATTACATTTCGAGCTACCGAGATAAGGGATTCGGTGATATGCTCCTGATATCGCAACTTTTCATCCAGATGCACTTGTTGCGGCTTTTCCGTATCAAAAAGGTTGTAGCAAAATAGTAGATATTGCTGACGTTTGGATTCATTTGGTTCTAGTCTCGTAAGCAGCCTATAGAGATGTAGAAAGAGCTTATACCGATGCTCATCTAGCACCTGGTCATGCGTATCCTCCATGGAGTGCAATTGCCTAAATCTTTGCCGGAAATGATTGAGATTTATGTTAATTTTAGTTTCTGGTGCGGCGACTTCTACGTGATGCTCCAACATGGGTCGTTTACAGCCCAAAGCAATGCCTAGCTTCCATAGAAGAACAGGTACGCTATGAGCAAAATCAGCGGGGGATAGACCAAGCGGAGATTTATGTGGACCTACGGCTGGTTGATGTTCTTCTTCGGCCATGATTGTTATGCTTAAATGCCCAATATGTGGTTTAAACTCAAAGAAATAAAAGTAACTGAAGATCTGAAATTAAAAATTAGTAAATATGCTTACCCAATTCCAAATTACAATATATAAAATGAACTCAAATAATTTATAATTCCCCATAAAGCTGGCAACTTAAAGATAACTATACATATTGTATTATATATGTATTCTCTTAAATATTATTGATAAAAGTATTTATTTGTAAGAATACAAACCATTAAAATATATTAAAAATGTCAATGTACATTATCTAGCTGTTATTATATTTCTATATAATACTATACCAAATCTTAAATTCTAACCTTATGTCAAAAATATCTTCTATTTTTATATTCATCGTGTATTTACTTACAATTTAAAAGACGGATTTCGACTTTTATAGTTGTTTCAAAAAATATTTTACTTAAGAATTTGTATACAAATTTTTCTAAAAATTTTCAAAATATATTTGCTGTGATATGATAAAAATCCCAAAGGCTTGTTAGCTTAGGCAATAAAACATTACAATAAATAATAGCTTAAATTGCCTTTTAATCTTTATATCTATCATAATCTATTTGCGTGTATTTCTTGGCCAACGTAATTAACTCATAAATCTGTCAAAATTGTAAATTGTCGACAGGTTAAAAACTCAAGTGTTCAGCAAAAATTGCGTTGCATTCGCACCTTTTGCAGTCGCCACCGCAACCTTTTTGCAACTTTTCATTCAGCACGGTGGGTCGGGACGAAGGAGGCTGGTTAAGGTGGGGGGGCGCAGGCTTTCTCAAAATGTATGATGCCACTTTTAACCTCAGACCGTAAAAAGTTTTGCCAGTGTGCAAAAGGAAACTATGCAAAGATAAGTGAAAAAGATTATAAATGCATTGTACTAAAATTTACCGCCAACATCAGCGCAAAAGGCACAAGAAAAAAACATGTTGCGGAATTCTAAGCGCTAATGCACGACTAAGAGATACCCTATAGCCAACTATGCATTGCCAGACGACAAAAATGTACCATATTTTAAAATGAGTTTTTATTTTCTCCAACCACATAAAGTATATATATTCTTGAACGGCATCAATAGCCGAGTTGGTCTAGCCATGTTCGTCCGTCCGTCCGTCCGTCCGTCCGTCCGTATGTATGAACGCAAGGATATCAGAACTTATAAGAGCCAAAGACCTCAAATTTTAGCTGTAGGTCCGTTTAGTGCCAGCGCAGATCGAGTTTGTTTCCCATAAGCTATAGCCTGTCCCGTTTCCAAATAAATATTAAAAGCTAGAGTCAACACACTTGATATGTTGCTTCTAGAATATTATATATATACACATATATATATATATATATATATATATATATATATATCAAATATATTTTATTTTTCCTATCGCTATTACCACTGCAGAGCTATAAATCAAGTTAATAACCAAACTTCTAACGGAAATACCAAGAATATCTGTATACATGTGCACACACACTTTCATGCTCGTCTGCTTCTAATTGTATCAACATCATTGCAATTCTGTACCGCTATTTTAATTCGTTTTTTTTTTTTTTTGGTGGCTGGGCAGTAAAGGCAAAGCAAGTGTTGCGGTCTGTCGCGAGTTCGAGCCCAAGCGGGGTAACTATTTTATTTTTGGCTGGTGTGGCTGTTGAGTAGAGTCGAGAACTTCCGTCTAGAACCTCTTAATAGTTAATATTAAAGAAGGCATTTAGAAAGTGAGTTATGCTAATGAGAAACCTCTCACAAACATAGGACTGTGCGTCGACATTTATCTTTATTTGTTATAGTCTCGAAGAGCGACAGACTAATGAGCGGACAGGCAGACGGGACTCATTTCATGCGCACATCATTTTTATGCCACAATTTGAGAACGTTTCAATGTGTATAGGGTACAAAAACAGACATAAGTGGCACACAATTGACTGCAAGTGCCAGCAAGTCAAAAGTAAAGGAAACGGAAGCGGAAACAGCCATTTAAAAAAAATGTCACCAGACAGACGCAAGCGATAGAAAGATAGGTGTAGCGGCGGCGCATGTTGACAGTGTTGGTAAAATTATCAAAGTGGTTTTTGGCAACGCGCCCTCCAGCAACAGTCTTTGGTCGAAACAAAGTAAAGTCTTTTTCAACGAGCTTCGTGAGGTGATAGATCAATAGGTTAGGTGAGAGGTTGGCAATATCTTTTGGTGTTCTTAGAGTATGAAGGTGAAAAAGTTTAGTAAATGGCGGTTTCTCATAAAGTAAAGCAATAAAAGTTTTAGACAGTTATCGAAAAATTGAACTTGAGTAACGTATTAAAAGCAAAACACAATATATCAAACTAATGTATCCTCTGAAATTCTAGACTTTCATACAAATAGACAGCCAGGTGTTGTTACTTAGTAGAAATATAATTTCCGGACTATGAAAATCATGGCTATTTAAGTGTAGTTTGTATCTCAGAATAATAATATTTAATGTACTACTGAACGTTTTCTATTTAAAATGTTTCATTCGCAATAACTTTTCTTCCCATCTAACTGATTTTTAACTTCCTCTAACTTATTCAGCCCTTTCTCAGCACCAACCGCCTCACCCAGTCGGCGCTGCTCATTAAAAAACTGAATGTTTGACATTTTGTCAGGCAGGGATAATAAAATTACATTCGAAGCCCGACGACAAGCGCAAGGCAAATGTGCTGAATCAGCGCAAGAAAATGTCGCAGAATGCGAGTGGCTGGAGAGGGCAGCGGTAGTTAAGGCAAATGTCAAATCAAATTTATTGACTTTCATTGTAATGCTGGATAGTAAGACGGCATAGGGGCGGCTTGCAGTGTTGACAATGACACTAGGATTCGAAAGGACTAACCCGCAGCTTTACGTTCATTCAAATGTGCAAAGCCAATGACAGAGGGAAATGCCCCGCCGACAAAGCTCCTGCTCCCGGCCAGAACACATAATGCGCACCTTTTTCAGTTGCTTGTGCACTTCGGGGGCGATTAAAGCGCCGCTTAGTTCGCCCCCAAGTGTAACAGAATGGGGAAAAGCCAATAGCATAGACAATCAGCAGGCAGCATCCGAAGTTTTCCTCACTTTTCTTGGCGCGTTTTTCCCGATTTTCCACAACTTAGCACAATGCCTGTTGGCAGCGCTATAAAAATCATACGCTTCCATTCATTGCGGCCATTGTGGGCACTTTTTTTTTCTTTTTTACCTCCTTTGTGCAATGTTTGACAATTATTTGCATTGTTCACTCGCTCGTTTGTTCAACATGCACACGAATCGGTAACTACAACTTGAGTGTCTATAGATATACACACCTAAATACATATAGAGAGATTGAGCTGCTCAACTAGTTCGGTTAGTTAGGTGCTTGCACTCCTATTGTTTCGTTTTCCGACCCCAAAATGCGCATGCAAGTACTTTTCTATACCCTGTACGAATGCAAGATACAGAGGGTGGCATCTTCGAACCCATATGGTACGTACAGTCGATATGGATGTAATAATCTTCATCCATTTACCAGCTGATAAGATAATTTTAAATACTTTAAACACTAAACCTTTAAATTTGAGATACGTAACTTCTTTATACCACACACAGAACAAGTTTATTTATATAACGATTAGTAGCTGGCTTTTTGGTAAGAAATGAAAAGAGACACGACGTTTGATATGTAGGCAGAGTATACTATAATATACAATCAGATAATATACCACATATAATATAATATACAGACAGGTGACATCGATAGGTGGTTGCAGAGCTCAAAAGTTATTAAAGATACAAATTCCAAAGCATATGAAACAGACAAAAGAACACTAGTATAGGGTATTATCTCGACGGGCAGTCATGACTGAAGCACGCTTGCTTCTACTGTGGGGTATTTCCTTGATAAAGAATTGTCCATTTTTTCTGAACAATTTTTGCTTTAAGTTTTTGGGAATAGTTACTTATTATTATTATAATTGTTAAATGATTGATTCATCATCATCTGGTATTTTATATTTGATATATGGAAACTAGTTTTGGCTCAACCCTATTTGGGTAAATGCTACTTAAGCAATTATTTGAGATTCCTTTTGCCACTTCAACAATAAACTCTAATACATTAATAATAATATTTTCCCATGGCATAATCAGCATTTAACCAATCAAACTAATTGTGTATTCGATTGTATCGAGTTTCCATGGCTGTTTATTAAACATCAGAGTCGACGGAAATTCCCCAAGCAAACATATTTCGACCAACTTCTGCTTAGTAGCTACCAATTAGAAATTGACCTATGTGGCACTTATAATTAATGATTGCTTCTCCGGTTTCTGGTTTCTGAGGCCTGTGGGTTTTACTCTGGCAATGACTATGTTTCAGTCGTTATGCAGAAATTTATGCGTTGCAGCTAGTTGCACATAATTGCAGAGCTATCGCCTTCGAACTGGCCACTGCATTGGTTACTCATACGCCAGATGGAACAATTTTCGGTCTCAAGTTATTAATATACTGTTTGTCCAGGAGATAGCTGCGAGTTGGATAGCTGAGTTCTTGTAATGTGCTGTACAGGGATTGGAAACAAATAACTTTTCCAATATTAATCTAATTTATCAACAAGATTAATACAATTTAGCGATATTAATATATTGATTATATATTTCCTTATATTGTTTATTCATTCTTTTGTCAATTTTATTCGAGCTGGTTCCACTTTTTTTTTAATTACATATATTTTTTCTGTAGAGGAAGTGTGTAATAAGTGTTGAAGTTGCTTTTAAATGTTTTAAGAAGTATTGCAAAAGAATTGAGTGTTGAGTAGCGATTGAAGTTAGGTTGAGTATTTTTGAGCAGTGTTGAAAAGTGTTTAATAGTAATAGGATAGTAACTCAAGTAGTATTGAACAGTGCTCAGTAGTATGGAGTAACGTAAATTAATTTGTAATAGTTTCTTATGAGAATATGTTGATTAGTGTAATAAAAGGAATATGTTGATTAGTGTACATTTACATTGTTCTTTTGGCTAAACTCGACACGGATACACACGACTTATCACAAAATGTAGATATCTTAACATGAGCATGTCTCTCATTGCGCGCTACTCTAGATTGCCCTTACTGTAGATTACTTAGAGGCACTTTCGATTAGTTAACTGGCTGCTGGTTCCAAGTAGGATTAGCCACTTTGCTTAGCTAGGAAAATGCTGTGCTTAAATCCTAAACCAATTAAAATCATACAAGCCAGGCTACGTATAGTTGCCGCAATTAGCCAGACACAAACACAGATAGATACACACTTAGGCATGACTGCAAAGGACACGGCAATTACGTGCAACATTTGAAGCGATATTTTATTAGACCCAGCCAGTTGAAGTGGCAACTTGAATCGTACATGTCATAAGCTGCTACTTAAATAAGTAGCTTGTCCCACGTCCGGTTCAAGTCCCTTGGCGTAATCCTTTTGAGCCCCGCACATTAAGTACACAAATTTAAAACGTTTGCTACACAATTAA